GCGCGCGGGGCAGTTCGCCTTCGCCCTAGCCGGGGGCTTCATGGGGGCACGGGTGGTGCCCGTCCCGGGGCTGACGCTCGGGGTCGTTCGCAGGGGTCCTGGCTGCGCACAAGATCACTGCGAGCTCCCCGGACACTGACTTGCCCACCGTGAGCGGGCTGCGGGTGAGTGCGGCCGGGTAGCGGAGACCGGGTGGCGGTGCTCCCCTCTCGGGCCATCCCGGGCTTGAGCGGTCCCGTTTCTCCCCACTGTGCAGAAAATGGGAGTGAACTTCACGGTGAGCAACAAGGACACGGTGAAGAGCAGCGATGTCCTCTTCCTGGCCGTAAAGCCGCCCATCATCCCCTTCATCCTGGAGGAGGTGGGCCCCGACATCGAGGCCCGGCACATCGTGGTCTCCTGCGCGGCCGGCGTCACCATCAGCTCCATCGAGAAGGTGAGAGGGGACCGGGCCGTGCAGGGCCGGCCGGGAGCAGGTTCCACTCCTCTGACCCCTCGGAGTCGATGGACAGACTTGTACTTATGCTACTCAGGACTAAAGTCACACAGCAGCAAAAAACTTGTTTTTGGTCACCTTTGCCTATCTTCATCGGCAAATGCTATTAGAGGTTTTATCCAGCTCTTCTCTCATATGAGGTGCTGTCCGATCATGTTTCTTTTACCAGCAGTAGGTCATCTCCCCTGAATTTCTGCAGATTTTATCTAAGTGTCTGCAGGAGCTGTTTAGGAGATCTGTGGGTTGATGTGGGACTGAAGCCTTTGGGATACTGTTTCCAACCTGACATTGCCCAGCTCCTGCTTTGCTGGTACTGACTAAGGCTTCACGTTCACGGGTGGGCTGCTGTGACTCAAAGCAGGACATTTGAGATACACAGGTCTCTCTTTTCCTTCTGCTTGTGTTATTCTTGCCCCTGGGGCGGGGGGGTCCTTTCCTGGACAGCCCATTGATGAAAAATATGCACTAAAGCTCATTTTTCTCCCTTCTTTCTTTTTTTTCTTACTTTCTATCTTCAATGATTTTCTGCCCTAAGAAACTCTCTACCTTCTGCCCCACACCAAAAGTGATCAGGTGCATGACCAACACCCCTGTGATAGTCCGGGAAGGTGCTACAGTCTATGCCACTGGAACTCATGCGGATGTGGAAGATGGGAAGCTTTTGGAACAACTGATGGCCAGTGTAGGCTTCTGCACCGAGGTGGAAGAGGACCTCATTGATGCTGTAACAGGGCTCAGTGGCAGTGGCCCTGCGTATGTATGTGCTATTTCCTCAGCTAGTGCCAGTCTTAGGGAGAGAGTAGTTGGCTTTGCCTGCTAAAGAATCTGTGCAACTTCAGCTTGTAATTTTTTTCCCCCATCACCCATATTTGCAATGGGACATGTATTCCAGGTGTCCAGTTTGGGGCAGCAGGAAAATTTTTTTAAGAGTCAGATGAGTCTGAAGTCTATAGCCAGTGTGCAGTGTCCACATGTCTATGTTGTAAAACTTGGGCCTGTAGTTTGCATGATGCAGAAGCTGAATTTCTCCCATTCCCCCTATTCCTGAGCTGGAAATAGTGGGAGGGAAGCCTGGCATGGCAGCCATGAAGGAAAGAGGGAGGCTTTTGTCAAGTCTGTGAGTGATAGGAATCACAGAACGGTCCTGAAGGCCTGGATTCTCTCTTCCCTAAGACCAGTCCTGGAGCAGTCTTTCAGTCACCTTCTTCCTCTCTGGTCTCAGGCATTCACTGCCCTGGATGCTCTTGCGGATGGAGGAGTAAAGATGGGCCTTCCCCGCAGGCTGGCAGTTCGACTGGGAGCACAGGCTTTGCTGGTCAGTATTACCTCCTGCATAACAAATCTGAGTCTGTGCCTGCTCTTTGCAGAGGAATCTACACATCAGAGTTTGAAATTATCTTGGTCCTCTCACAGAATCTGCTTTAAAGAATGTGTTTGGTTTGAATGCACACAGGTTCCTGGTGAGGGGCTCTAGGAAGTGTCCACAGCAATCTGCTGGTGCTGCTGGTGCTGTGGGAGATGGGGCCTGGGAAACTCTGCTCCTCTGCAGGCCTCCTCAGCTCTGAAAAGTGTTTTGGCAGCCTGCAGGAGCCTAGGTTTGCCTGTTGTGAGTGTTGGTGCTGCTCTGTGCAGTGAGAACAGGGGTGTCTGACAGTGGCTTTCTCTGTCAGAACTCTGGCAGGTGTTTTCCTTGCTACAGGGTGCTGCCAAAATGCTGTTAGAATCTGAGCAGCATCCGGGTCAGCTGAAGGACAATGTCTGCTCACCTGGAGGAGCCACTATCCATGCCCTGCACTTCCTGGAGAGTGGTGGCTTTCGCTCACTCCTCATCAATGCTGTGGAAGCTTCCTGTATCCGGACAAGGTGGGCAACTGGGAAGTCCTAAAGAGTTTGCAAGACTTTCCCCCTCCACCCTCCCCATCTTATTTTTTCTGTCTTCCTCTCCCACTACCCCATTGCAGGGAGCTGCAGCATTTGGCAGACCAAGAGAAGATTCCCCTGGCAGCCATAAAGAAAACACTGCTGGACAAGGTGAAGCTGGAGTCTCCTTCTCTGTCTGTGGCATCTGCTAGCAAAGTCAGTCTGTTCACCAGCAAGAGCAAGAAGAACTGACCAGACTGCTGTATTCTGGCAGTGCTGAATGTCAATGTCCTGGTTGCGGCCAGGACAGGGTTAATTTTTGCAGTAGCCAGGAATGGGTGGCCAGGACCCTGGTTATTCTGTGCATCATACATGTGGGCAAAGGGGAGGGGGAAGGCTTGAAGCAGGGGAGAGGGGCTGAAGAAGGGTGGGGAGAAGGGGTCCCTTCTGGCTGGTTGCATGAAGCGAGCGGTGGTGAGCAACCATGTGCGAGTCCTTCACCTCTCTTCTACACTCTTCTTAATATTGATGCTGTTATTATTTGTTTTCTTACCTCAATACTGCTTCCAGTAAATTGTTCTTGTAGCAAACCACAATCTTTACCTTTTGTGCCTCCAGTTCTCCTCTCCAGCCCACCACAGAGGGAGAGGGACAAGAGGGCAGTGAGTGAGCATCATGTGGGTTTGAGTATTTCAGTGGGAATGCTAGTACAGGGAATGCCATTCCTAAGCCGTTATTGTTCTGTGTTATTTCTCTTTTGTCCAAGGAAAAACACTCAGCACGTTGGTGTCCCCTGTACCAGGCTTGTGGCTTGCAGCAGCTGTAGCAGAGGGTCTTTAACCTGTAGTGGGCTTGGTGAGCTGTCCCTGGCATGGTGTTTTCTTGGGCAGGGGTGATGTTCTCATCAGAGCTTTGCCAAGGAAATCATTTGTCCAGAAGCCTTGGGTACTTACAGGACTCAAGCAGTGTTTGTGGTGTCCCATGCAGAATTTTTTTTAACAGGATTTTTAAAGATGTTTCAGAACTTTTGGTTTCAAAGGTTGAATTATCTCTGGTCCCATCTTGCACCTGCTGTCAGAGCTTATGTCCTGTCCCTGGCGTTACTAGCTGGAGCAGATGCTGCCACACGAAGTCCATACTGCATGGTGCATCAGGGACTGGGCCCAGAATCACCTCTTGGAACAGACCAACTGCCTCTGTCCAATCTCCCAGCCCTTAGGGAGATATGAACATCAGATCGTGCTCCTTTTCTCTCCAGCGGCTGCCCCTTCTCTCTGCGCAGTCTGGTTTGGGGAACTGTGACCTCTCACTGCCCCTCCTTTACTGCTGGCTTTGCTTGGGTGGTTTGGCACGTGGAGGGGTAGTGAGTTTTTACATTTCCTGCTGTCTCTGAGGTGCTGGTGATGGTAAAGTATTTTTAGTGTTAGACTTTTGACTGCAAGCAGGGTATGACCCTATAGGTGTGACAGATGGTTACTCCTCTTCCCTCTTTACATAAAAAAACTGTGTCTCTGATGAGAGCTGTGGCTAGTCCCAACTAGCCAAAAGTTTTGACTGGGGGTATCCCTTGCCACTGGCAGTGGCCACTAGGTCAGGAGTCCTTGGATGCCATATGTTCCTGTTTCCTGCTCAGGATCTGTAATACCTGTGCTGACAGGCCAGGCTGGAAGTCAGACGGATTAAGTACTGCCTGATGCAAAATGCAAGGAAGTGTTGTGGAAACAGTTCTCATTTGGCTGAAAAAGTGAGATGCAGAATGAATGGATGCCTGAGCTTAGGCCCCTCTGCCAGGAGATTAAGGGGGTGCCCCTGGGTACTCCCAGAGACACAGAGCTATAGATGAACTTCCTAGATCGTTACAGACCTGTAACTGAGGTGGCCACCAGAACGGATGGAAACCCAGCCCATCAGGGGCTACAAGAGCCCTGCAAGGCGTGCGGTCACATCCCCTGTGCACAGAGCAGAGAGCAGCGGTGCTGCTGCTGGATCCGGGCCCAGCCAAGCCCCTGCTGCTCCTACGGGGCACAGTTTCTCAACCCCCTTGTGCCCGATTTCATTGCTGCACCTTCCACTGGCCCCTCGCCCTCCTCTGGTATGCTCATCTTGTCCTCCCTTCTTGGCCTGTAGCATGGCAGCAAACAGTAGGCACCAGTGTGAGTGTCATGGACCCGAATCGTATCCAGAGGGCCGGGAGCACACCTGGAGCGAGCCCGGCGTGACCGGGAAAGCGGCGTTTGGGAGCAGTGGCGGTCCCGGCCCTACCGCTGCAGGCGGGGCTCGCCGCACACGGAGCCGGCGGCTCCGAGGGACCGCGGGCGCAGCTCAAAGGGAGCGCGGAGCCGCCGGTGCTAAGGGCCCCGCCGGTGCGGGCGGAGGGACTGCGCGCTCTGAAACGCGCGCCGTGCCGCGGGGAGAGCGCGGGAGGCCGGTGGCTGCTGTCAGAGACGGCGGGAGCTGATCCGCGGCCTACCCAGTACTTTGGCGGAGCGGCAGCGCTCGCCCCGGGACGGGAAGTCGACCGCGGCGGCGGGAGGCGCCGGCAGGGTCCCGGCCGGGCCGCGTTCCCGCCGGTGCCCCCGGGGAGCGCGGCCCCCTTAAGGCCCGGGGCGGTCGCGCCGGGCGCTTCATGAATGGAGCCACGTGACCCAAATATCACGTGACGAGTCCGTGACCGGCGGCGGCGGCGGCGGCTCGTGAGTCTCGGTCCCTCCCAGCGCGGCCTCCCTGCCCCGCCCGGCCTGGCCTGGCCCGGCGGCCCCGGCAGGAGGTGAGCGCCACCGGCAGCGAGGGCGGGCGCGGCCCTGGCGCCGGCCGGAGCGGGGCGGGCCGGTCCCCAGGGGCGGGCCGGGGCGGGGCGGGCACGGCGGGCCCCGGGGTGGTGACCGGGGCCGCCGCGGGGTCGGCAGGTGCCCAACGGGGCCGTCACCGCTGACTCACAGCGGGGCTTTGGGGTCGCGGCTGCCCGGCACCGCCCGGCCCCCGCCCCGGCGTGTCCGGGCCCCGCTCGGCGGCCGAGCAACAGGTGCGCGGGGCGCTGGCCCGGGGCCTGCCCCGGCCCCGCCCGCCGCCTCCCGCGTCCGCCCGCAGGCATCGCGGGCGCATCCGGCCCCTCCCTCCCGCGGGTGCCGAATGCCCCGATCGGGTTGCAGACCGGCTGCCCTCAAGCCGAACCTGCCCCTCTCAACCCCGCCGCACCTTCGGGCGCTCAGGCCCCCGGCGGGGCCTCGGGTCCCCCTCTCCCGCCGGGCGGCCGGCCCCCGCCCGCGGGTGTTCGCCGTGGTCTGTCGTTCGTTTCCTGAGAACGGGAGGGCCGGGAGGGTGAGGAGCCATCGGGGCGTCTCGCCCGCTTCCCAGGGCAGAGGCAGGCAGCACAGCGCCGCTGCCTGCCGTCGGTACCTTGTCCTCGGTAGCTGCAGACGTGAGGGTGCGAGGTTCTGTTCCGTAGGGCTGCCCGGTGCTGGGCGCTGCAGTGGCCCCCCGGTGCAGTGGGTTTCCGCTCCCGCGGGGCTGCAGTGTGTGACCGGCACGGAGGGGCTGCGTGCGTCTGTGCTGCTCACGGCTCAGTCACGCTGTTCAGAGCTGGGCGCATCTCTGGCTGTCCAGGATAAGTGAACTGTGTGATCGGAGGAGGGCACTGCCAAGGGTGGGAGGGAGTCTCTCAGAGCTGGCCCTTTGCTTTAGCAGTGTGAGCAGAGTTAAAACCAGCTGGGTGGGCAGATTCCTTGAGGAAAAAATTGCTCTGGAAGTGCTCAGGGTTGGATGACCTCACCGAGGAAACAGAGGAGGCACTATCTTGGCTACACAGGTAATTTGGGGAGTCATTGGATGAGACTGTGTGAGCCAATTTGCCAGCAAGCAAATAAAGAGAGTATGAAATCCACACTGGGAGAGAGTGTTTCGGTGCAGTGTCCCCTTTCGCTGCTGACAAACCACACTACTGTGCCTGCCAGAGCCATGGAGCCCGTGTGGGAGCGCTGCCCTCACTCTGCCCGTGCTGGAGCAGGTGACATCACCATGTTTACATGGGGCTTGTGGCAGGGTTCTGCATCAGCAGCGTGGAGAAGGGCCCATGGTGGATCATGCGTGGTGCTGTCAGTTCCCATGTGCTGCCACTAGCTGAGGGGAGAATTGGCTGTGCTTGTGCTGAGTTCAGGCCTTTTGAGCTCTGGGGAAATGTGTCAAGGCTGCAGTTTCTTCGTTGCAGCCATAGTGTTTGGCACTTTTCAGTGTGATCTTTTTTCAGGAGGCTATCAAAAGCTGATCCATCAGCAGTCTGGAGAATAAGGCAAAGTTTGGTCTCTGCTGTGTCGCCAGTTCTCTGGGTGTCCTCTTTATGAGTTGCCAAACAGCCCAGTTAAAACAGGACCCAGGAAACTGGGTTGTTCTTTCCATTCTACTGACTGCCCTACATGTTGCTGCACCTTGGAGAGGTGGGATCACCAGGTTTTTGGGGACAATCCTGTTGCAGCTCTGATGGCTGTTGTGAGAGGCTCCTACCTGAGAGGGTGTTGTGCTAGAGTGTGCAGAGGCAGGAAGGAGTAGCTGCCTCTGCTGTGTCTAGCTTTGCCAACGCCAGCCATTTCCCAGCCTGCTGCTGAGCGCTCTTCCCAGTGCCCTGCCTGATGCAGCATGCGTGTGCCCTGTTTGTTCCATTTTGGGTCTGCTGTAATGAAGGCAGCCTGTGTGCTTGCCAGGTAGCTGTAAATTCATTAGTGCCACAGGGTGAGCAAATTCCTGTGGTTGCACTGACCATACCTGTCCTTGACTCCTTCCACTTGCAAGAGGATGGGGAATGGAAGTGCTGCAGGGGCATGCACATTGGTCTCTCCAGCTATTCCCTTTCCTCTCCCCTTTTCCCAGCAGACATGTTGTTTACCAGATAGGAACAGAAGGAATAAACAGCAGTCTGGGAAGGAGGGAAGAATTGATTTTGTGCAGCAGTTGCTTGTATGCTGCCTGTCCTGCCTCACTGCAGCTTCCTTCCTTGGGCAGCAAATGACCGTGCCTATGCCAGTGTGGTTGGGTGTAGCAGACATCTTGGTGGAAGGAGCATTGTCCTCTAGGTATATATAAATGCCCTGGCTCCTGGCAGGCTGCAGGCTTCAGAATATTTCTCTGCTGGTGTCCTGGGGACTGCTAATCCTGCTCACCTCCAGTAGGTCGTAGTTGCACTGTAGGGAGCCTGTGCCACAGCTGCTGAAAGAGCACTGAGTCATATTTGCTGATGTGTGCATTTTGTTCTGGTCTGTAACTGGACATCAGTCCTGCTGGGAGTAAGGCAGGGGCAAACAAAATTGTTGTTTGACACCTGCAAGATGAAAGGGTCAGGGGCACCTGTAGGTTGCACAGGAATCCTGGCCAGGGCTGAGTGGGCGCAGTCTGGGCTGAGAGGGGAGTGCACTTTGGCGTGTTTGAGGCACAGCCATGTCTGTCAGGTACTATCTATGTGGATCAATTCCTTGGGCAGTGTAGTAGCAGTCTAAACTGAAAAGCCTGCGCAGAGGAGATATGTGGGGAAAGAAGCAGGAGCCCAGGTGTAAGTCTCTGTAAAGCCGGTCTGGGAATTGCTCTTACCAGTTCTGAAGTCTTGTCTTCCATGGCAGGGAAGGAGTCTGCTCTGAGTTTTGGCATGTTTAATCTTTGTTTTCTTGTGAGCACACCTTGACTCTGAGGATAAGGAGGAAGAAGGTGTTTCTGGGTCCTGGCATGCCAGGGATTGACAGGTATTTTCTCATAGAAAAGACCTACAACTGGAGTCAGTTTTGGGAGAGGTGGAGGCTGCTGAGGCATCAGCCCAAATTTGTGATGGAATTCCAGTGTGTCCATGGCTTGCCCTGTACCCCTTGCTCAGGGTTATGTCTTATTGCACCATCCTTGGGAGCATCTGGAGAGCTCCAGGGCTGGGCACCTGTTGGAAGGGCACGTTAAGGTAACCTGACCTGCTTGGGAGTGACAAGGATGAGGCGGGGAGCGAGTGGAGCAGAGTGCCAGCCTGCTGAGTCAGCGTGACTGGCCTGGAGCAGCCATGCTCTGGACCCTGCCTGCTGCTTGCAAGGCTATTTTTAAAAATATGGCTTCCATGTATTCTGATTCCTCCTAGTTCTTTAATTTACCCCACCATAAACAAAAAACAGCAGTGCCACAAAGTCTCCATGGGAGCGGAGGTGTGGAAGGGCAGCAGTTTCTGCTCAGTGTGAGTCCAGCTCAGCTCGCTGCTTTTGATTGTCTTCCATGGCAGGGGCCAGGATGTGGAGCACCACAGGGCGTTGCTGCTGGACCCTGCCAGAGAAATGCCGTGGGCTCTGCTGTGTCCCAGGTGCTAATTTGACCTTCCTTCCCTTCCAGAACCCAGCTGACAAGGCTGTCGTGTTATGACGACCCCCAACAAAGGAAGCAAGGCCTTGAAGGTAATGTGGTGGGTGGAGGAAAGGGGTGCAGGAATGGGTGTAGGCATCCACCTCAGGTTTCACAAGTGTGTGCTGCCTTCTCTCCCAGGTGAAGAGGGAGCCAGGTGAGAATGGGACCAGCTTGACAGACGAGGAGCTGGTGACCATGTCTGTGCGAGAGCTGAACCAGCATCTACGGGGCCTGTCGAAGGAGGAGATCATCCAGCTGAAGCAGCGTCGGCGCACGCTGAAGAACCGGGGTTACGCGGCCAGCTGCAGAGTGAAGCGCGTTACACAGAAGGAGGAACTGGAGAAGCAGAAGGCAGAGCTGCAGCAAGAAGTGGAGAAGCTGGCCTCAGAGAACGCCAGCATGAAAATGGAACTTGATGCTCTCCGCTCCAAATATGAGGCTCTCCAGAACTTCGCCAGAACCGTGGCCCGGAGCCCCGTGACCCCTGCACGGGGGCCTCTCGCTTCCAGTATGGGGCCCCTCGTCCCTGGCAAGGTTGCTACTACTAGTGTCATCACAATAGTGAAATCCAAAACGGACGCCCGGTCTTAGTGAAGCAAGTGTTGCCTGAGCTTGTCTGTGCAGGGCAGTTAGGCACAAAACCAGCCTGGAATCCCCAAAGCACAAGCCCTCCCCACATGGGTCCGGCTTCCTTTGACTTGGCCCAGGATTGGCCTGCTGATCGCTCCAGTTTGTTTTGTTGTGTCCAGATTGGTATGAGCAGTGGTGATTTATCCCTTGTCCTGTGCAGACAGAGCTTCCCACCCAGCAGTCTGTAATCCTCAGGTGCCCTGGGGACAGACTGTGAGATTTTGGTTTTCTACCCAAAGAAAATCTGTGCAGTGTGGCTGAAAGAAGGGTGGAGGAGTGGCCCGAGGAAAGCTTTCTTCCTGGGGGCTGGGAACCCTAATTTTCGGTCACTTCCAAAGGCTTTATTTCATGATTCTTCCAGGTGGTGCATCTCAGCACCTGAACCTGCTGCTTTTGTCTCCTTTGGTACCTGTAGTTACAGTTGGGGTGTTCTGTGTCATAGGTTTTATTCCTTCCTAGGTGTGCCTCTGTGCCCTAACCGTGGGTTTCCCTCAGACGTCCATGACGTTAGCTGGGTAAACTGGCAGTGGTGGAAGGACGATGCTGCTGTGTTCTGCCGATGTGGTCCTGCGGCCCCGCAGGGCTCAGCACCCAGGAGGGAAGAAGGGAGCAGCGGTACTGTGTTGACTGCAGGCCGGTTTTGTGCCTAATGTGTTGCACTGAACAAGACCAAAATCACTAGTTGTTCCCGTGTTTTGAGGGTATCAAGTGTCTCTAGTGTGATGGTTTACACAACCAGTTTATGTGGTTAAATAGCCCTTTATTTAAAGAGAGAAACATCATTTTAAGAATTATTAAATTATCTGAGTTTAAAATTGGACAGAAGAGAGAGCGTATTTATAGTCAGCTTTTTTACCTGAGAAGGTGAGAATATTGACCATATGAGTGGGGAAATATTCTCAGAGACTTTGCTAGTTAAAAGTTAATAAATAAATAATTTTAAAGTGTCTCATAAACCTCCCGCAAACTGTTTGTTGCTCTGAGGTTAGTTTTTATAAAGAGTTATCAGACTTTATTTATAAAACTTAGAAAAAGACAAAAAAAGAGGCAAGTCCTGTTTGATATCTTTTTGCAATTGTACCAAAAGTGACTTATTCTTGACCTTGCTAGTTTCTGTTGTGTCCCCTTGTGTTGGGCGCTCTGCTCCCCAAGCTCTTGTGCGGCGTTGTGGTGTGCTGGTGCCTTTGCCATGTGCTGTCATTTCACACTGTTGTTGTTTTCCCTAAACTCGACTGAGGGATTGAGTTGGAATCTCTGCGAATTCTCCAGAAGGGTTCTGGTGCACAGGCTAAGGTGCTGCTGCTTTTGAGGAGAAGAATGGCTGGCTGGTGCAGCAAGGTAGTGACACCTGCCCCGAGGTGTGCGGCAGGAGCACAGGCAGCTCCTGCTCAGCAGCCAATGCTAGGCTAGCTTGGTTAGCTGGAGAGGAAAAACTCTGCACTTTTCCTCCTGCAGCAAACCCGTCAGAGAAGTAATATGAGGGAGACTTGTCTAGGTTTAGGAGAAGACTGATGGGATTGCCCCTGGAAATAGATCGTGTGGTCAGAACTTGTGTTGTGCTCATGGCTCACCTGAACAAGAGGGGCAAGTCTGCAACAAGAGGGGCAACGTGGGACAGGCTAGCCCCTAGTCCCTTCTCTACATATTACTGGCCAGTGAGCTGTGGCAGGATCACTGTCCTTCCTGGGGTGGCTTCTGCCCAGGGGTTTTAGGAGGGTGCTCAGAATTACAGCTGTGATGCAGCTGAGAAGCTGTTTGTGGCCAGGCTCTGTTTCCACAAATACTTTGACTCCCCTCTTCCCTTCCCAAAGATTTGAGCTGATTTACTGAGTTTTAGAGAAGTAGGACATGAGGGGGAAGCCCATGTGATCTCCTGGCTGCTGATCTGATTGGAGGGGGCAGATTGGGATAACACAAATGAAGTCACAGTCTTGTGGCGAGGTACAGCTGTCCTGGATAGGTTTTGGGGAAGTTTCTCACTGCTGACCTGATACTGCTGTCCCCTGAGTGGAGGAGCAGGTCAGCCTGAGAAAAGCTGCAGTGTGGCAGGAGAGGAGCAGGTAGTTGACGGAGATTTCCTGCTGGATGAAGTCAGCTTTGCTCTGATTGATAGGGAGTTTAGGAAGTTGTTTTGGATGCTTTTCCAAGTAAATTTCCCAAAGGAGGAGCAGGTTAGAACATTGCCTCCAGACTTCCCCCTTCTGGCCTTGGACTGACTCTTCTGTGAATTGAAGTGTCTGATGTGCTACTTCCAGCCATTCACCGCACAGGCCACACCCTGCAGAGCACTCAGCAGGCTCTGGTCTTCCAGCTGGTTGTGGGGTGACTGGAAGAAGTGAGATTTTAGAGAACACAGAGGCGTCCAGTTGTCCTGGGGTGTCATTCCCAACCATGTCCCTCTTAGACCCAGGCTGAGATTGAATCAGCCAGAGTCCTTGGGAACACAGCTGAGTCCTGATCTGGGCCAGAGGAGTGGGCAAGGTGTGTATGGGGCTGGTTATGATCTTGGTTCCACAGCTGGAGCCTCTGGTGTGAGGAGAGCCCCATCAACACAGCAGGCGGTGATGGGCAGCCCTGCAGCCACGGAGAACTTGCATTTGGTTGTGCTCCGTGGCAGGGGTGTCCAGTCCCTCCCCACCTGCCGGGTGCAGCCGTGCGACGGCACCAGCCGCCGTTCCTCCTGCCCTGCACCGACCGGGGGTGCTTCCAGCGGCCTGTGTTCAACGAGGACAGGTCGTGTAGGGAGGAGCAGGTGCATGGCCATGGCCAGGGGTGCCACTGTGCTGAACGAGCTCTGCGGTGCCAGGCTGGGAGTCAGCGAGCCACGGTCCCAAGTGCCGCTTCCTGTGGGTTTGGTTTAGTTCTCAGTGCAGTGTAGGACCCGGAGCGCTGTATTGCCGCAGTGTCCGAGGAGTGTCCCGTGGGCTCTGGGGATCTTGTGTCCTGCCAGCTTGCTTCCTGTGCCCGTGCGAGGCGACCAGCGCCGGAGCCGTCACGCTGACTTCTCTCTCGTATATAGTGTTCTGGAGTGTGACAATTCTTGTTCCTGAGGTGCTCGTCTGTTTGGTTTTCTGCTGTGAAGGGTGTCGTGTTCCCTTTCTCCTTTTCCTGGTGCCGTTCCGGGCGTCGGGGAGGGGTCCTGCGCCAGCCCGACCGGGGAACATCCGCGGCACCCCGGGATTTGTGTATCTTGTAAATTGTGTACAGTCGCTCCCGGTCGGAGTCGGGGCTGGCGGACAGAAGGGTCATCCAGAGGGCTCCGAGCTCGGTGCAGGCGGTATTTATTGATAAGTTATTGCCGTTATTTATTCTGTACAGTGTCCGCCGCCTTTGTACGCGACAATAAACCGCTTCAACAGCCGCCGCCTGCGCGTCCTTGGGGGGCCGCCCGGCACCAGGGGGCGCTGCGGCGCGGGGGGCGGTGCCGGAAGCAGCGCGCGCGCGCTCTGACCGGAAGGCGGAAGCGGCGGAGCCGAGCCCGGTGGCGGCGGAGGCGCGGCGGTTCCGGGGCGATGGCGGCGGGCGGCAGCCTGAGCCGCTCCGAGCGGAAAGCGGCGGCGCGCGCCGAGATCCTGCAGCAGGAGGAGCAGCGGGACCGCCGGAGACAGGTACGGTACGACGCGGCCCGACCCGCTCCACCTCGCCGCTGCGGGCTGCCGTGACCACGCGTGTGCACCGGGCAGGTATCCCGCATCTGGAGGAAGCCGCCGGCGGAGCGGAGCCCCGAGGAGTGCCAGGTGCTGAGTGAGAGCGAGGACATCGTCAGGGAGCTGGAGCGGCGCCGCAAGCGGCGCGAGCGGCTGCGGCGGCGGCAGGAGGAGGTGGGTGGCGGGGTCGTAGCGGGAGCGGGGAAGCCGCGCCGCTGATGGCGGGGAGCGGCCCCGGCCGCGGACAGGCGCGGCGGAGGCCGCTGGCCTGGCTTCTGCCGAGCTCTGCAGCCGCAGCAAGTGAACAACCGCCGTGTCCCAGTACCGGGAACGCGTCTGCCCTCCGGGGATGCCTGCCCGGTGTTTGTCTCCGGTCAGCCGTGCTCCAGGCGCGTGTGGCCGTGCGGACAGGTCTCTCGAGAGGGTGGGCCAGCAGCTTCCGGCCTCCAGGAAGCTTTTTCCCGTGATCCTCCCATGAACAACGCCCACGACCTTTTCATTTGGAAATCACTGTTTATGTTGTGTTTATGTTGCTTTTCCTGGTTGGCCCAAGCTCATCCTCAAACTTTTGGGGAGATCCCTGCTCTTTCTAGCTCGGTGGGGCAGTGTGTATGTGATCCGTGTTGTCGGAATCTGTGGGTATTGATGATCCCGAGATTGTAGAAAGTCTCTGTCTGTCAGCCCCGCTGCCAAAGAAGAAGCCATAATTCGTCTGTGCTGGTTTCAAGGTTGTTTATTCTGTTTATCTCTAACATGTTCTGCTGCCCTGCCGCAGCTCTGTCCTGCAGGGCAGCGTGTGGGGCTCTGCCCTCAGTGGGATGGTACAAACATTAAATACCACAAACTACCTGTGCTGGATTTACAATAACGTGCCAATATCTGTCACCTACGTTGAACAGTGTGTCCCCAGCCTGAACCAACAGAAAAATGCCAACACCACAGTGAAACATGGAGGGCATGAAGAAGGAGGAAAAGGACAAGGCACACCCAATTTCCTCCGTCTTGTCCCCTTTGGACCACTAATCTAGAAACCTAAAATTTTACTATTGCACCCGTGTCACACTTAATTATTACTTATATCAAACACTCAGAGCTTGTAATTCATCCTGTAAGATTGAAAACTCTTTTCCATGGACAGAGATCACAGCCAGTGTCTCTGGGGGCTCTGTCCAGGGGGGTTCCTGACCCCTGCCAGGGTCCCAGCCCTGCCAGGGCAGCCAGAGGGAAGCTCTGGATTCCCACATGTGTGACCCTGCTGAGGGCTGTTCTGCAGGTGTGCGATGAGCCAGAGGAGCTGAAGAGGAAGGTGGCTGAGCTGGCAGCAGCAGTGCGGAGCGCCAGGCACCTCGTCATCTACACGGGCGCTGGGATCAGCACGGTGCGTTTGGGGCAGCAGCCGAGGCCCTCGGGGCCGCGCCACGTTCCGGAACGAGCGCAGGACGCGCGTGGCCAGCCCGGGACGCTGCTCCAGTCTCGCGGCCGGCAGTTGCCAGGCTGCGTCCCGGGGTCATTCCAGGGGATCCTGCAGCTGCAGTGCCTCCCACCGCTGCAGGATGCACAGCCTGAGCAAGGGGACGCTGCTCTTGCTTCACTCGAGTCTCTCCAATGATTTGGTGTAAAACTTCAAGCCACTTAGCTCAGGAATGTTCTATGTGTTATCAGACACGCAGAGACAGCCGGGGATTATTGGAATTTATAAACAGAAGTTTGAGAATTTTTTTGTGGCAGTAGTCTGGGGCAAAGCAGCAGTCTGGTTCTACCTCTTCTAATGTGTCATCTGCCACCTTTGCATTAGCTCTGTCACTCCATTCTCTGCTGAATTGGAGCATGACTCAGGGCAGGGGGCTGAGTGCTCCTGTCACCTGCATGTTTGCTAGAGATGCTGAGTGTGACGTGCCAGAACCAGAGTCTAGGGAAAATAAGAAAAGGCTCAAGAATAGAGTTCTGTGTAGTGAAATGGGAAGTACCAAGGATGCAAAAGAGTTCTGGAGGGATTCCATAATCATAAAATTGAAGAAACCTAACACTAGAAGTGAAAATGAGAGCTGAAACACAGAAGAGAGAGAGAAAACATATGAGGAGGTTTCCATCTGTTTAGGGGAGAGCTATGCTGGAAAACTTGGAATGAATGAAACAGCAGCGATGGATAGAGGTGTCTGTGGTTGTCCTGGGTGGGCCTGAGTTGGTTGTGCACAAGAGCTGTGACAACTCCACCCCATCAGGCCTGGTTTTCTCTCCTGCTGACAGGCAGCTTCGATCCCAGACTACAGAGGCCCCAATGGCATTTGGACACTGCTACAGAAGGGCAGGAGCATCAGGTGAGGAGCCAAATTCCCAACTGTGTGACAGAAAACTGATACTGGAAGAGGTTAATGGCAATTTCAGCTTTTTTTTTCCCCTTGCTTCTTGTCAGGGCTGCAGACCTGAGTGAGGCAGAGCCTACACTCACTCATATGAGCATTGCCTGCCTGCACAAGCACAACCTGGTAAGATATTTTTACCTCACCTTACTCATGTTCCTTTGCCTAAAAATGATAAACCCAGCAGGGAATAGTCAGAGAATATTGCCTGACTACATTTTTGGCTCGAGTGGCTGCATATCCATGTAGGAAAACATGTCCAAGCCTTCCTCAGTCAGCTGCAGGCTCCAGCTCTGGCAGGTTTTTTCCCCTAGTGCCTTTTCTTTAACATGTTGTATTTGTACCTGGTGAGGCTGGGGAACTGGTCACAAATCAGCCAGGCCTAGAAATGTTCTGTTTAGCAGGGGGAGGCTTTCCATTTAGCTTTCAAAAAGGTCTGTTCACCCTCCTCTTCCCCTGTGGGTCCTGCTCTGATGTGCAGGCTGTTGGTGCAATTTGGGACGTGCGCATCATCTGCTTGGAGGGATACCTGTGAGGTTTGTAGGACTTCAGTGTTTTATTCCCTTCCAGGTGCAGCATGTGGTGTCTCAGAACTGTGATGGGCTGCACCTGCGGAGCGGGTTACCCCGAGCTGCAATATCTGAGCTTCACGGGAACATGTACATAGAGGTGAGTGGCCAGAGCAGGAAAAAGTCAATGCTAAGTGGCCTCACAAAAAGAGAATGTAAACTCTTGATCTGCCACTAGCTCAGAAGGAATTAGTACAAGGGCTTGGCCTGTGTGTGGTTCCTGCCTTCAGACCATCAGGTTTGGGGTGAACTACTTAGGAAGTACCAAACCCAGCTATGTAGCTCTTCCTCTGTACATACAGGAACCTTTTGCTTCTGATGTCTCTTTCTCAGCCCTTCTCTGAAATCCCTCCCAGCATGTAGCCAAGGGCTGCCTGTGGCTCCTGTGGCTGGTTTTCAAAAAACCTTGAGGTTTTCCAAGTTAGCATCTGATCCCTGAAGTTCTGTCTACAACTTCTGTCTTGTCCCCAAAAATGCTTTTTTTTCCAAGAGAAGAGGCTTGGTGGTTGGTGGGATGCTGATGATGTGACGGGGTTTCTGCTTTCGTCCTGCACCAGGTCTGCACTTCCTGCACACCCAACAGAGAGTATGTGCGAGTGTTTGACGTGACGGAGCGCACAGCCCTGCACAGGCACCACACGGGCAGGATGTGCCACAAGTGTGGGTCACAGTTGAGAGATACAATCGTCCACTTTGGGGAGAAGGGGACATTGAGACAGCCCCTGAACTGGGAAGCAGCAACAGAAGCTGCAAGCAAAGCAGATGTGATTCTTTGTCTGGGTTCCAGCTTAAAGGTAACTTTAGAGACTCGGTGAAGATTGTTAGCAGCATTCCCTCTTGGTGATACACCTTGGTGCTGAGCAGTCTCCTCCCAAACAGACAACTGTAAACTCTGGTGTCAGGATTCGCCCAACATCTGTGATAGTCTCTCTTCCTCCCTCTTTCCCCTCCTGGTAATACATTCCTTTTCCTCTCGATGATACGGTTCACGGCTGCGTGTGCCTGTGGCTGTGCTGATCCTCTGTGCTTTGTGGCAGGTTTTGAAAAAATACCCGCGGCTCTGGTGCATGAGCAAGCCCCCCACACGCCGGCCCAAGCTGTATATTGTGAACCTGCAGGTGAGATAAAGCCCTCGGCGCTGGGTTGGCCAGGTGTGAGCCAAGGGGCTGCGGGTGCGTGGGGCCGAGCCCCCGCCAGGCCCCGGGCAGGAGCCCCCGCTGCCGCCGCGGGGAGCTGCTGCAGCCGGCTCTGCTCTCGATCGCAGTGGACCCCGAAGGACGACCTGGCCGCCCTGAAGCTGCACGGCCGCTGCGACGACGTGATGCGGCTGCTGATGGCGGAGCTGGGGCTGGAAATCCCGCGCTACGACCGGTGAGCGGCCCGGGCCGTGTGCGGTGGGACCCCCGGCCCGGGGCCGCCTCCAGCGCCCACCGCCGCCCTCTCCTTCCTTCTGCAGGGCGCGGGACCCCATCTTCGCGCTGGCCGAGCCGCTGCGCCCCGGGGAGGAGGGCACGCACTCGCGGAAACCCGTGGCGCCGCCCCGGGAGCGGGAGGAGCCCCGGGAGCGGGAGCAGCCCCGGGAGCGGGCGGAGGCGGCGGTCGGGCGGCCCGGGGGGTGGCTCGGCCGCGGCTGCGCCAAGGGCGCCAGGCGCAGGAAGAGCCGCTGAGCGCGGGGCGGGGCGGCGGCGCCGGTGACAGCGCGGCCATGCTGCGCAACGGGGCGGCGGGCGGCGGCGGGGCCGCGGCGGGCGGCGGCGGACACCGGCCCGTGCGCGTCTGGTGCGATGGATGGTGAGTGGGGCGGGCGCGGGGCCGGGTGATGTCGTGGCGCCGCACAAATAAACCGTGTTGGCTACGCTGGTGCCTCCGCCTCCTCTGTCACCGCGGCGGGACGGGCCCGGCACAGCGGTGCTCTCCGCAGAGCTGCTTCGGGGCGCCGGGCGAGCGGGAGCAAACGGAGCTGGTCACGAACCGCTCCGGAGCCGGGAGCGCCCTTGGGCTCGGCCGCTCAACGGGCGTCCCTCGGGCTACAGCCGGGCAGGTGCAGGGAGGGACCGGCCCCTGCAGCACCAGGGCCGGCTCTCTGCGGTGGGAGGGAGCCGCTGCGGGCCCCGGTGACCGGGCTGTACCGGCACAGCTCTGCCCGGCAGCACCGAGACCTTCAGCCCCGAAGCCTGGGGCAGATTGCCCGCAGCTTGCAGGGGAGCGCGTCTCGGTGTGCCCGGGCTGACCCGGCCCTTCTCTTTCCAGCTATGACATGGTGCACTATGGCCACTCGAACCAGCTGCGCCAGGCGCGGGCCATGGGCGATTACCTGATCGTTGGGGTCCACACGGATGGTAAGAGGTTTTTCCAGGATTCATCTCGTGCAGCCCCTCAAATTGCCCAGCAGCATTAGCCCCAGGAGAACCAAGAGTTCCTGATAGGGTCAGGCTTCTGCTCCAGAATCCTGCATCTGCTCCAGGATCAGTAGCTTCCAAGAGAAGGATGTTCCTTCTCTGGGAGTGGAGTTACCCCTGTCACACTTTTGGATTAAGGATTAGGTGGGCCAGATCTTGCAGGCTCTGAGGGTTAATCTGTGTTCTGTGCTATAAAAACAGTTGAAACAGATGAAAATCAGTCTGCTTTTGCTGGTAGGAGGTGCAGAATTTACTTTTCAAAGCAAGTTACCTTGTGGAGAAAACTCATTTAAAGGCCATCTGGAAGTTAAGTGTTAGAAACAATTTCTGGCATATGAAGATGTATTTTAAATGCAGAATTTCCAGTATGAACCAGTTGTAATATGAAGTTACTGTTTAAGAGGGAAATTTTATCCTAGGGGGAGGCCGGGAGGGCCAGCTCATCCCCTCAGGAAGAAGTATCTGGTACAGGGAAGCACTGAGACCTTTTGCCCTCTGAGGGAATTTTAGGGCCCTTGTTAAAAGTTTAGGAAATGCAACTGAATCAAAATATTTTCTGATCTATCTGGGGCGTCCTTTGCTACCGCGGACTAATCCAAATCTGAGGATAAGCCTGCAGTGAAGTTCACCTGCCCATGAAACGAGTGAGGCAGTAACTGAGAGACACTGTAGCTGCAGGACATGCTTCTAACTGGAATTTTGTTTCTCTCCCAGAGGAGATTGCCAAGCACAAGGGTCCCCCTGTCTTTACCCAGGAGGAGAGGTACAAAATGGTGCAGGCCATCAAGTGGGTGGATGAGATTGCTCCTGGAGCTCCTTATGTCACCACGTTGGAAACCCTGGACAAGTACAGCTGTGACTTCTGCGTGCATGGGGGTGAGTAGTGTTTGAGGCAGTGTCTGTGCTAAGGTGGGCCCTTGGGGCTGTGTGCTCCAGGTGCCCTGCTGCAAGCCCAGCAGTGTCCCGGGGGCTGCAGGGCTCAGGGGTACCTGCTGTGTGAGGAGCTCTGCCTTCTCAACACCTGCACTGGGCAGCTTCTGGTCTCATGGTCTGGAGAAACACGTTGGTGTGCTCAAAATCCTGAGAACGGCCAGGGCCCTTGGTTTTAACTTACAAAGGTGAAATGTGTCATTTAAAATTATTCCAAGGTTACCCTTAGCACGAGCAGAAATTTGTGCAAAGGGAAAAGCCATTTACAAAACTTAAGTTTGAAAAACACTATTGAAAAGTAAAGCATGCAGAAATACAACCGTGTTTATTTCTACTTATCCTGGGACAAGGTTAGATCTGAAAAGCTTCTCTCTATTGAGCAGATAAGCTGTTCAGTGGCTCAGCTGACTGTGTGGCCAGAGACCTAGTTCTTAGTGTGAGCACTTTTTGGTGTACAGTTGCTGAAGAGAACCAGTGTTCTGAGGAAATGTTCTTGCTCTGGGACTCTGTCCCTTTCTGGGCTGCTGCCAATGCTCATTAAGCCTCAGCCCTTCTTCCCTGCCCCTCTGAAGCAATTTTGTTACTTTGACCAGGACTAGTCTTTGCACTCATTTTGTGTATCTCTGATCTGATCCCAGCCACCTGCTGTTGATAAGCCAAGTATTTCACAAAATGTAAATAAATCCTTAATCTTCACAAGATAAATATTCTTTTTTCACGTGGATGGAGTGGTTATCAAATTCCTTGTTAACTTCATTGCCTGCCCTGAACGTGTTCGATGTACGTGATCCCTTACAGGGCTTGGTAAGGGATCATGACAGCAGAGGAGTGCTTTTGGCCCCTGCTCCAGCTGCTTGCATCCGTCCCCTCTGCTACTTGCTGACTTGTCTGAATCATTCCGTGCCTCTCCTGAGCAATACGCCTTCACCAGCAGCTTTGCCAGGTTGTGTTTGTGCAAAAGCTGATTTTGGAAATAGCTGAGCTTACCTGAGAAGGTGACAGCAGCCCTGCTGTTTGTGCCTCTCCTGGCATGCCAAGTTGTGCTGGCAGTGTGTGCCCTCCTGTGCCTGTGCTCTGAGGGAGGGTGTGGGGTTTTAGGAGAACTGGGCGGGACTGAGACCCCCACTGTGTAGGCACACTCATGGGCTGCCCTCTGACTGTTTCGGCAAAGGGAAACCAGCTTAGCTTTTGCTTGTGAAGGCTTTGTACCATCACCGAAAGTATGTAAGAACTGTTTCTGCAGAGGGAGTTAGGAGCCATGTGCCAGAGATGAACTGAAATGGCCTCTGTAGAAGGGTCGCTGGATGTCACTGTGGAAGTGCAGTCATTGAGAGGAAGAAATTTCCATTGGATGAACTGTTTCATTGACTGAAAACTTGTAATGTGACCCAAGGGTTAAAACCAGTCCCAGAAGAGCTAAAAGATTCTTTTTTAAGATTGATACAGATAGTGCTTGTTTACTGTCATTCAGACAATAATCAGCTGTGCCTGCTGCTGCAGGGCACCCAGCAGCACACAGGATGGGTAATGGTGTTTGGTGTCTGGGAATATCCTTGTCTCCACAGACACAATAGTCTTAAAAACCCCTGACATTTTTGTGGGGCACAGGACATGTCCTCTGTGTATACACATGGATTTAGATTGCAGAGTTCCAGTCTGGCTCTAGGTGTATGGGACCTGTACAGCTGCTGCTTTTGTGCAGAAGAGCTTGGGTACAGTTCTGAGGCTTTTCTTTCTCTGCAGATGACATCACCTTAACTATCGATGGCAAGGACACCTATGAGGAAGTAAAGACAGCAGGGCGATACAGGTAACCTCTTGCTGCTTACCTGTTTATCTTGTTTTCTGGGACTTTGTGCCTTGAAGGGAAGTCAGATGAAACATACCAGTCTTCAGGTCACACCTGAATTTGACTGTATGTGTTTTAGAGCTTCAGTTGCTCCCAACGTTTTGGCTTCAGGGAAGTGGGGCAGACATTCCTGCCCAGTGGGGCTGTCTGGTTCCTGGCAGATGCTGGTTCTGGTTTTAAAGCCTCACCAAGAGCTGGCTTTGTTGGGAAGTCTGAGGGAAGCGTTCACACAAGCAGATGCTATGACGTGAGGATGATGCAGAGGCTCAGCAAATAAATGCTCTTGAGAAGGAAGGCTTCCTTAGGACAGCCCCTGGTCACAGGGTCAGGTGTCACGGGTGTCCCTGTGGCAGTGGTGGGAAGACAGAGCCTTCGCTCCTGTGGCTTCTGCTTCATCCTGTGCTTGTCTCCCGCAGGGAATGCAAACGCACTCAAGGTGTGTCCACCACTGACCTTGTTGGCCGCATGCTGCTCATGACTAAGGCTCACCACAGCAACATAGTGAGTCAGAGGGCTTTTGGTGGGAGGTGGAGTACAGGACATGTACAGCTCTTCCCCTCTGCTGCCCCAAACAGAGTAGAGCGGAGCAGTAGAGCTCCTGGGCCTGGCTCCCAGGTGCGTGGAGAACGGGCAGTGGCAGCAAAACAGCCTGCTCGTGTTTGCTTCAGCGTGTCTGAGATCACAGCGTGATGGGACAGACTTTACTGCCTCATGATCAGTGAGGGCCTCAGGAATGTTAGAGGAACTGCAGACAAGCCCATGACTTTTCCCAGGGTGAAACAACACAGTGCAGGCACATTGATCTGTCAGCCAGGTGGTGCCAGAGTTAGAAACTCCTGTCCCTTCCCACTGAGCTTCATGCTTCTGCCTTCTGTTGTCTCTAGTCTGATCAGACCTTTCTTGAGTCTCCTCAGCTCATTCTCTGGCTGGGAGCTAACCTAACCAGGGAAAAGTAAAGTCAGTAGTTTTTTGTCAGGTAATGAGTTGAATTTACTGAGTAATGAAGGAATCTGTGAATAGAATAATCTGGATAGCTGCAGAAACAAGTGACCCACAGGCGAATTGAGGGACAGATGTTTTGGTGTGCTGAGCTGTTAAATTGGCTTAGCTGTAGCACGAGTTGACACTGAGATCTGCCTGGTGCTGCTGGCTGCTGCAGATACCGAAGCCTGCCTCTTGTGAGGATCTTTGGCAGGAAAAGGGATGCTGTCCTGTCAGGGGCTTGCTGGGCTGAGGGAGGATGCAGCTGTGCAGCACTCTTGGAGCTGCAAGTTGGGCAAGAACCACCTTTGCTGGTGGTGCCAGGCTGGGATCAGATAAGGACACATTTCCTCTGACTCATGCTGGGACAGGACTCTGGTTTAGGTATTAACCAGTTTGTCAGCATTCAGTGCCCTGGATCCCTGATGTGCGTTTTGAACTTGGCCTTCCCAGCACTTCCCACACACAAGCATATCTTGGTTGGATGAGCTGTGCAAGTGCTTAAACATTTTGACTCTTTATCTCCCTTCAGGATGAGGACCTAGACTATCGGAAGCACACTGACAACTTTGGGAAGGTAATGTGAGTTCTGGTTGTGGACGTCTGGTTGTTGTCCTGCCTGAGAAGGATTCCCAGTGTGCTTTCTGGCCTCTTGCAGGCTTGTTTGTCCTCCCACATGTAGCAGTAATGTCTCAGTGAACGTCTGCTGTCCCCAAATGGCAGTGCCTGCAGTGGGTGTGTTGGGCAGGTGTGGCACAGGGCAGTGCATGAGCTTCGGTGGTCCCACCTTCAGTGGGACCAAGGGCTGCTGTCCCCACTGAGCCTGTGCTGGGCTCCTTCCTTGCTTGTGAATTCCTTCCTGCCACTTCCCTTGGGACCCAAGTGCCTGTGGTTCCAGCCTGGGGACAGCCTCTGTGGATGCTCCTCTCAGTGCTTGTGTTGTTTTGAAGGTGTTTTATTAGGTTTGGGAGAGGTGTGGACACAGCAGGTGCGTGGCCACACTGGTGCAGAGTTCGAGGGCAGCACAGCCCTCTCGGTGTTGTAGCTGCCAGGTCCAGCCTGCAGCTCGCACTGCTCCTAAAGAGCCAGCCCTGTTTATTTCCTTGGCAGCTGGATTGTCCCTCCTTAATGAGCTGCACCAGCAGCTTGAGCAAGTCTCTTCTACTTGCAGGGCATTTGCTGACCTGTCTGAATCATCTTAGTTCCCCACTATTTTGGGGGTTTTGAGTAGGTGTTTTGGGGCATATTGGTCTAGCATGGCTGATTTCTGGGGCTTAGATCTGGGTAGAATGGATCAGGGCACTGGGTACCCTGCGTGACCCTGACAGCTGAACTGTCTGCATGCTGCCCTTTGCAGGGCCTGCTCTGGCCTGGGCTGCAGCGTCTGTGTCCTGCCAAGTCCCTTGGAGCAGCTTTGGGTGGCAGAGCCGGTGACTTGGTGGCTGTTTGTACAGCTACCACGTGGTGGGGACCGAGCTCTGTTCTCAGAGATGAGGGGCCAGACAGGTGCCCTGAGGCTTGGCAGAGCATAGGTTGGTCATGTGTTGTCTCCCCAGCACGTCTTGCTTGTCATGGAAATTCAAACCTGCCCTGTTGTCTTCCTCCTTCCTGAGCTTTCCTCTTGGCATCTCCTGAGCCGTCTGCTGAGGTGATGATTTAGACAGGGCACAAAGGGCATTTGTGAGATTATCTAAACACTTGATGCCCTGAATGTAGAAAGTCCAAGGTGCTGGGAGTTGTTACAGTTGCCAGCAAATTCAGATGGGCAGATTGCCCAGCAGTGTGCTCTGTGTTGTCCAAACCCCCTCACAGAGCCTGAAAAGAAGCTGTGTCTGGTGTATGTTTCCACAGGGGCCAAAAGGTCACAGTCCCTGGACTGGCGTCTCGCAGTTCCTGCAGACATCCCAGAAGATCATCCAGTTTGCATCGGGGAAGGAGCCGCAGCCGGGAGACACCATCATCTACGTGGCTGGAGCCTTTGACCTGTTCCGTATCCTTGACTCTCATTGCTTGCAACAGTGGTCTTTGTCTGATGTTCTCATGTTGGGAGGCACCAGACTGGATATTTGCCTCATATTTTTTCCTTTTCTGTGGCTGTACATGAGGGAGGAGTCAGGAGTGAGTTCTTCCTGGCAGTTTCTTAGTCACAGGATGCTGAGAAAGAAGCTATAGCTGCTCTGTGGAGCAATCTGTGGCTGTTGGATTTCAGGAAGATAGATGGATATTCTCAGCACTCTAATAATGATTGTGGTGAAGACTGGCTGCCATAGCATCTGGAGCTGACACGGCATTCCTGGGGCAGGCTTTGAAGCTTTGTGCCAGAACATCTGGAACAAGTAGAAATTCTGGAAAGAGGCAAGGCTGAGTCCATGTAAGGTGGAGCTGAAAAATTTTCTGGCTTTTGCCCAGAACCAGTGGAACCTGAGGAGGGAGGCAGCAGCTGTTCTTGGAAACAGGCAATACGTAGTGCAAAAATAAAATCCTAGGGGTTCCTGTGACCCACTGTAATTTTTGAGTGACTCTATTTCTGTCTTCCTTTGTCTATTTTCCATGTGAGCTTCAATTCCTTAAACAAATCTGCAGATGTTGGTCACGTGGATTTCCTGGAGAAGGTTCACCAGTTGGCAGAGAAACCCTACATCATTGCTGGGCTGCATTTCGATCAGGTCTGTGTAGAACCTGTCCAAAGGCAGAGCAGCTTGGGCCTGTTCTCTGAACCAGGCAGGCTGTGCTTCAGGAGACAGGACAGGGATGTACTGACCAATACAGGAATTTCATTTTGGGAGAGAGGAAGAGGGAAAGGCGTTGCTCTGTCTCTCTTCTGACTGTGCCTGGTGCTTTGCCGTAGGAGGTGAATCGCTACAAAGGGAAGAACTATCCCATCATGAACATCCATGAGCGAACTCTCAGTGTCCTGGCCTGCAGGGTGAGTGGGTGTCTCTGCACTCCTCCAGAACTGCCCAGAGCTGGTGGTGTTCACTTGTGCTCAGTGATCTTGCATGAGTTCCTTGGTGTGCCCTGAGAAGACAGACAAGATGAATCACTTGAAGCTGCCAGAGGTGCTGATAAACGCTTGGGAGGCTCTGCTAGGCTCTTGTGCCATCCCGGCTCTTCCAAGCTGGTGACCCATCCAGCTGTTCTGCTGGCAGTGACAGGGCTGGATGCCACGTAGGGAACTGTGTGGCTCTGTGTAGTCAGACATGTGCCACTAGGAAAATCTGCTCCCTGCAGCAGGGGAGAAAATGCCTGGGACAAAATCTTGGGGAGCCCCAGAAATGTGTGCCTGGAGCAATTAACTTTTGGATTTGCTCTACAGGCACAGAAAGGACATTCTGTAGAGGAACAAAAAGCTGTTGTGTGACAAGCAGTTGCTGCTGAACCCACTTCTCTGTTCCCTTATTTGAACTTCTGACTCTATAGCCAGGCGACCGTTTAGGTCTCCTTAAGCAGCTGGTTTCTGTCTTGGGATTGGGTTTTGGGTTTTTGTTTGATGGGTTTTTTTTTCAAATCTGGACTCTTCCTGGTTCCTTTTTTAGTATGTCTCAGAGGTGGTGATTGGAGCTCCCTATGCTGTCACTGCTGATCTGTTGGATCACTTCAGGGTGAGTCCTTGCACACAGATGGATATGAAGATGCTGGTGGGTGATGTGTGTGGGGAGCTAAAGTGGTGCAGGACAACACAAGGGTGCAAGGAGAGAGTGTCCTGCTCAGACTGGGACTGCCAGGCTGATGCAGGAGGGTGGCTTTGCTGGTCTCCAGGCTGTGCTCGGTGGGAGCAGTGGCAGGAAATGTCCCAGTCATCTTTTGGATCTTGTCAGTGACTTTTGTGTCATTCTTCAGGTAACACTTGTTTGTCATGGGATGACTGAGGTGGTGCTGGACAAGGACGGTTCTGATCCATATGAGGTAAAGTGCCAGTTGCTTTGTCAGCATGTGCTAGACAGAGCCTGGCCCTGAGACGGGGTATTGCAGCGGAGGCTTTGGCAGGCAATGCAGCTTTTCATCCACCCCTGAGGGCAGCTACTTGGAGCAGTCAGTAAATCATTCCCAACAGCTCCACTCTTCCAAGCACCGTTTTGCTCTGCCTGTTTCTGATGCCTTCATACAGAGTGAGAAATCCTGTATGCTTTGCTCTCTGTCCTGGGCAGCTCCCATGTATGTGGAGCTTTGCTTTCAGCAAGTGTTTGTTCTGCCTCTGAGGAGATCACTGTGCATCCTGCCTGTCATCCTGCCTTGGCTTGGCTCAGCTGTCACTGCTGAGCTGCACACCCAGGTCCCGCGTGTTTTCACAGCCCAGTGCTGTGTCTCTGCAGGAACCGAAGCGACGCGGCATTTTCCAGCTGGTGGACAGTGGCAGCAATCTCACCACTGATCTAATTGTGCAAAGAATCATCAAGAACAGGTTGGTTTTCTTTGTCTCCCAGTTCTGTCACATACTGTTCCATACAGACTGTCTGGGGCCTGATGAATGGGACCAAACAGACAGAAGGTGTTACCTGAAGGCATAGAGTCAGCAAACTTGGCTTCCTCTTTCATGGCTTGGGCAGACTGTAAATGTGATTGTACCAGTCAGTACAGGGAAAGGAACAGCTGAACTCTGCTGTGTCAGAATGTGCTGCACAGCACATTTATTGGTTTTTTCTCCTTTAATGATAGATTTCCTTTGCTGTATCCTGGGGGAAAGAGCATGTTTCTTTCAGAGCTTTGGTCTTTTAGGTCTGAGTCCTTCACTTCCAGCACCTTGGCTCACATCAGTGATACATTTGATTTTGGTGTTAAAACACCCAGGACAGCCCAATAATAGAATAGCAGCTTCTTCCACAGAGGGAGGGAGAAAGAAATCATGTGTGACCAGTGTGGGAGCCCAGGACAGCAGAGTGCTGGCAACAGCCATGGGAAGCTCTGGGAGAGGCTCTGGGGGTCCTGGGGGGTTTCTGAAGTGCTCTCAGAACTGAACCACATAGAAGGCAATGCTCTCCCGCTCTAGGTGCTTTTGCCTACAAGCAGTATGGATGAATGATAATCTTACAGCATTGTGTGATATTTGCAGGCTGCAGTTTGAAGCTCGCAACCAGAAGAAAGAAGCAAAAGAGCTGGCTGTGCTGGAGGCCATGAGAAGGCTGGAGGAGGAGAAGCACTAAGGCTGCAGAGTGGGGATGTGTGAGCCACAGCGTGCTGCAACTTCACCCTCTGGTAGAGCAACTGCTCTTCAGGAAGGGACCCCTGAAGGGGGGCAGCACTGCTGGCACGCAGGATGTGCTGTCCTACCCTTTGCTGTCCTAGCTCCTCCTGCACTAATCATGCAGACATAACGAGTTGGGATTCCATTGCCTAGTTTTATCTCCATTAATCAGTCCCTGTCCCTTTTCCCAGGAGATCTGACAAAACAAAAAGGTTTTAATTATAACTAATGTTTTAACATGTTGATGTGCTTTTACCTTCTGCCATTTCTGGCTCTTAGTAGGAGGGAAGTGGCGGAGCTGCCCACACCCCCTTGCCCTTCCAGACTCTGCATTCCAGAGCAGCCTCTTGGGCAGTGGTGTGGGTGGCTGGACAGTCAGTGAGAGCAGCCCCGGGGACAAGACAGGGCTCGCGTTGTTCCTCCTGCAGCTTTTTCTCAGAAACAAGAGGCTGGCTGCCAGAGGTGGTGCTGGGCTCTGGGGTTTACTGTACTGCCTCTTCTCAGCTCCTGCCCCTGCACACTGCAACCCACCAGAGCTACTCTGGGTTGAGCTGGATAAAGGCAAATCCTTTGCTGCCCCAGTGACAGGCTGCAGGTGGCAGGTGATGCTGGGTCCAGGCATTTCTCCACACGAAGCATAGGGACCCTGGGGCCTTTTCCCAAAGGCTCTCCTATTTGCAAGGCAGCAGGACCCGATGCCTTGTGTGGACTGTGCTTAGAGCCCCACTTGCTGCTGCTGCCAGAGCCCACCTTGTGCCTGATGGATTACCTGAGGGCAGGGTCTGGCCAGGTGAAGTTTTAGGGTTGTATTCTGATTGCTGACACTCAGCTTGCCTGCCTCTAAGGGGAGGTGCGTGCAGGGCTGGGAGAACGGGTCATGAGCTGTAAGCCCCTTTTGCCTCTTACATTCCAGGATACTGTGGTGGGTATCCTGAGCAGCTCACTGCACTGTGCCAGATGGTCCTTCCAGGCTGTGTCTGGTGTCCTCTTTCTTGTAAACTTTTGTTGCTGATCATTAATAAAATGTTGAAGAGTTGTGCATTGGTCTTTTTGGGGCTTGAACCCAGGTAGCAGGAAGGGGGCATAGGGAGCACATGCTGAAACCCCAGTACTGGTACTGAGAGGGAGCGCCACACTTGCACCGCATCCCTGCAGCTCATGGCACAGTGGCTCTCCTCAGACCTGCTGCCCCCTTCTTGGGCTCTGTGAGCTGCACAAATTCCCCCTCTGCAGCGTGTGGCTCCCTCCCATGGGCACTGCAGGAGTTTGTCCTTAACAGGGCCAGGCAGAGGCTGTGCCAGGTCTCCTGCAGCACCGAGGGCAGCAGGCTCTTTCTGTCTGAGGGCAGACAGGGACAGGAACCCTGTGCCTTCAGTCACCTGCTCTCCTGCACAGCCCCTTGACCCCTGCTGTCCCTGCATTGTGCCCTGCAGCTCCTACAGGCCTTGGGCCATCCTCAAGCCTAAGGGATTTTGTTCTGCTGGGTATCTGAGCAGCCTCAGCACCACAGGAGGGAGCAGAGGGATCAGCAGCCCAGAGCTCCCCAGATCTGGGTAGATTCCCCATCTCTAGCAAGCACAGAAAAGACAAAGCCATCCCGAGCATGTTTATTGTCACCCCAGAGCCACCAGCACCGGCTCAGGCAGCCACACACTCCGTGGGGTCCAAGGACAGACGCGAGCCTGCCTTACACCCAAGACATACATCTGGCAGCGCCACGGCCACATCTGTCACGCACAGCACCTGCGGGAGGCACTGTCACAGGCTGCGGGCCTGGGCCAGCACAGCACTGGCTAGCACAGAGGGCGAGCCCTGGCCTGCCCGCCACGGTGGGTGCCCTGCTCCGGCCGCTGCAGAGCCCCGCGGGGTTGAGGGGGCTCCGGAACCGTGCCCAGCGTCCCAGCCCGAGCCCCTGGGGCGGCCCCGGTACTCACCGCGGTGCGGAGCCCCGAGGCGAGAGGCCGGAGCTGGGCAGCAGCACAGCGAGATTGGGTTCGGCAGAGCCGTCGGTGCCGGTGTTGGGCGAGCGGCACAGTTCGGAGAGCAGCCCCGGTTCTGCCCACCGAGCAGCGGCGGGGCAGCACAGGACGAGCAGCACCAGCCCCGGCCAGCGCGCACGGTGCCGGCGCGGCCGTAGCACCTGGGGCCGCCGCCTTTACGGCCGGAGGTCCCGGTACGCCCAGCCCCGCCGCAGCGGCGGGGCTCGGCTGCCGGGGCGGCGGAGCCCGCGGGGCGCCCGGCGGGGTCACTTCTCGTCCCCCCGCTCCGTGCACCGACCCGAGCGCGGGACACCGGACACAGACACGGACACGCAACTGGCGTCGCACATTTATTGAGCGGGGCCGGGCCGGCCGGGGGTGGGCCACGGCCCGACTCCGTGCCCGGGGCCGTCCTCACTCGCGGAACTTCCACTCCTGGCGGCACATGGGGCAGTGCTGCTGCACCTGCTGCGAGTTCAGCCACTTGAGGATGCAGTGCATGTGGAAGCAGTGCGAACACTGCCCCCACACCAGCGGGCAGTCGTCGCCGGGAACCTTACCTGCGGCACGGACACACCGTCAGCCCCGCCCAGAGCGCAGTGCCCGGTGTCGGTGCCGCTCCCGCACTCACAGTCGGGGCAGCAGCCGTTGAAGGCCATCCGGCAGATGCCGCAGTTCTCGTCGTTCGCCACCCACAGCCAGGACGCGACTCCGTGCCAGCTCCGCACGCGCACCCGCATCTCGGGCCGGTCCCGCCCCGCGGCTTCGCGCGCTCGCCGCGCCTCAGCCCCGCCTCTTCCGCTTCCGGCGCGGGCGCAGCGCGGCCGGAAGTGCGGGCGGGAGCGGTGCCGCCATCATGGCCGACAAGATGGACATGTCCCTTGACGACATCATTAAGCTCAACCGGAGCCAGCGTGGGGCCAGCCGGGGCGGCCGGGGCGGCCGGGGCCGGGGCGGCACCGCACGCGGGGGCGGGCCCGGCCGGGGCGGCGTTGGCGGCGGGCGCGCGGGCGGCGGCCCTGTGCGGAACCGGCCGGTGATGGCCCGGGGCGGCGGCAGGAACCGGCCCGCGCCCTACAGCCGGGTACGGATCGGGCAGGCGGAGCTTGGGCCGCGGCGGTGCGGCGGGCTGGGGTGGAGGGTCCGCGCGGGGCGGGGGCGCGGACGCGGGCGGCCCTTTGTCCACTCCCGGCGCGGCCGCGGGGCCCTGGCGCCGGTCAGCGAGGTCCCGGTCTCATTGCAGCCGAAGCAGCTCCCCGAGAAGTGGCAGCACGACCTGTTCGACAGCGGCTTCGGGGCGGGGGCCGGCGTGGAGACCGGCGGAAAACTGCTCGTCTCCAACCTGGACTTCGGCGTTTCGGATGCGGACATCCAGGTGCGGCTCGGGGAGGCGCCGCGGGGAGCGGGGCCGCATTCGCTGGCCCAGGTCGGGTGCCCGCGGGAACCCCGCCGGCCCTGCTCCGGCTTGCGCTCGGGGCCGAGGATTCCCGGGTGAATCCCTGCTGATGGGGTTGGTACTAGGTATGCCTACTTTGCCGCGATCGTGGTGGTCTCCAGGGGGCTGGAAAATTCGGTTTATGGGTGTTTTGTAAGTGACTTCCCGGTGCACAGGGAGCGATGATATGACTGTGCTGGATCACGCTGTGGTTGGAGAATGCACTGTGAACTCTGAGCTCCTGCTCTGCGCAGCTGTAGCTGTCCCTAACGGTGCTGTGGGGCCTGCTGCTTTGTCAAATCACACTCTGGTGGGTGTCAGGGGTTCCCAAGGATGCACCTTTCAGTGTAACCAGGTAGTTATTTGTCACGGGAACAGCTCTCCTGTGCTGGTGCTTTGGTGTTCTGTTCCCTACCCGTCGTGGCCATACTCCTTTTGGGCTGGGGCTGGTCAGAGCCCACAGTGCCTGCAGTCGGGTGCTTGGGGCATCTGCGTCAGGGCTGGAGGCCGAGGGGTGTCACGGGGTCATGAGCGGGCTGTGAGCTGTGTAGGAATTGAGGGCCACATTTATTCCTGGTGGGGGCTCCTGCACCACAGTGTTGCCATCACCCTGGCCTCTGGCTCTTGTGCCCTCACCAGGGAAAACCAAACCACTGGTGTCAGACTTTCCTCATCAGTTCATTCATTCAGCCTCTCCACGCACTCATCTGTCTGCGTGTGGGTAACTGGAAAGCAGCTCTGTCAGGTCACCTGCTCACTGGGTAGTGTGCTGCACTCCACCTCTTTTCCTCGTGTAAGTTCAGACTGGGTTTAAATAAGTTCCTGTTAGTTGCAGTGAGGTGGCAGTGTGTAAAACTCAGCCCCTGTGCCTTGTGTGCAGCCAGGACTCACCTTCCTGCTGCTGCACAAGCCCCCGTTGGGGGCTGACTCAATGGCTTTGGCCCCATGTCCCATAATTTAGCATTGCCTCAGATGTGGGATTGGTTTTGTTCCTGTGCTGATGCCTCTTTATGTGCCATGAGAGGCCGAAGGCACTCTGATCATGAAGGAGCTGTGCAGCGTTGCTCTTTGTGCCCTCTGAGGCAGAAGCAGCGGATCCCGGGCTCTGGGCAGAGCTGAGACAGCCTTGCCTGCCACATTGTGTCCAGAAAGCATCTGCCAAGTGTCCTTTACAGTTCTCCAGCAGCCCTGCTGAGAGCCCTGTTGTGACTTGGGAGCAGGTTGACACAAGGCAGTGCAGTAACCTTGTTGGTTTCCCAGATAAAGTGCCTGAGAAACAAAATTGGTGGCTCTGTTGCTGTCTCTTTATTTCCAGCCTTTGTGGCAGCAAAGGACACACCTCAGAGGACTTTGTTGGTCTCCATTTTTAGGATATGTTCCTAATGGGCACAAGTCCAGCACAGTAAAAGTGTCATGGTCTCGTGGATCCCTGCACTCACATGGTCATTCTCCTCTGTGAGAAAGGTGTCTGGGGTCTGCAGTATTTTCAGTTGTTGCCACTTTGACTCACCTTTAACAAGGACCCCCAGTTCCCCCGGGAAAAAAAAACAGGTCAGCAACCCTTGAATCTGCTTCACTGGCTGTAATGTGCCTCCTACAGGACGTGAGCGTGGAGTCATGCCTTGTGACAGCTCCCTGAAATCTGGCTGATGGGCTGTGCTCCCCTGTGCCACTGGGTGCTTTTCCAGGCTGTCTGAGGTGGTGGGACCAGCTCTGGTGCTGAGCGTGCCTGTGTGGGGCGCTGCAGTGCTTGCAGCATTGATGGATGGGCTGCTCCTTTCCCTGTCGTTCTCAGGAGCTCTTTGCGGAGTTTGGGACCTTGAAGAAGGCAGCTGTGCACTACGACAGATCTGGCCGCAGCCTAGGGACGGCAGACGTGCATTTCGAGAGGAAGGCTGATGCGCTGAAGGCCATGAAGCAGTACAATGGGGTCCCCTTGGACGGTGAGGCTGCGTGGTCCAGCCCCGTGGCTGTTCCCGTGGCTGGAGCAGAGCACATCCGTGTCCCTCCCCTCGTGCCCGTTTCTCCCGCGCCCGCATCCCTCCCGCCCTGCGCGTGCCCCGCGGGCTCACGGCCGCTCTCACTCCTCCAGGGCGCCCCATGAACATCCAGCTGGTGACATCACAGATCGACACGCAGCGGAGACCAGCACAGAGGTGGGGAAGCCCGTGCCCGAGCAGTGCAGGGGAATGTGCAGGAACCCTCCCTGCTGGGGAACATGGGTCCTGTTTGGCTTCGCTGAAGGCACTAAAACAGTTGTTTTAAAACTTACAGTGTAAACAGAGGTGGCATGACCAGAAACCGTGGGGTCTTGGGGGGATTTGGAGGTGGAGGCAACAGGCGAGGGACTCGTGGCGGGAACAGAGGGAGAGGCAGAGGAGCTGGAAGAACTTCCAAACAGCAGCTCTCTGCAGAAGAACTAGATGCACAGCTGGATGCTTACAATGCCAGGGTAAGTGCTGCTTGGGCATGGTAATGGGCTCCTTACAGCATCTCATCCTGGAAAGCACTGGCAGTCTGGAGCTGGCAGAAAAGGGAAAGCATTTTCCAGGTCCTTGGACTGAAGCAGTCTCTCTCTAAAGCTGAGCTGTGCCCTGGCTTGGGTCTGAGCTTCCCTTTCCAGAGCACTTCGTCACCTGTTCCTGATGGCTGAGAAACAGGCTCTGCTCTTGCCAGGCTCCGTAGCTGGAACAGCCACTGTGAGCAGCAACTGCAGAACAAAACTCACACAGCTGATAGGTTGCAGGAATGGGAAGATGAAGGAAAATCTCATGTGGAAGAACTGTGTGGTGTGCTGCTGGGGAAAGGGTGTAATGTTTGTGGCAGAAATGAGCCCCAGCCTGGGGAGCCACAGGCAGGTTGCAGCTGTACCTGGAACGTGCTCAGCTTATGCTGTAGCTGGACCAGGATCCCAACAAAGCTGAGGCCACAAGGACACTGTGGCAGCAGAGCTGGTGGTTCAGGACTGGGATATGTCAGGGCAAGAGCGTGGAAAAAGGGGGATGAGCAAGATTCTAGAAAAAGCTTTGGAGCAGTGTAGGGGTGCAGTTTGCTGTTGTGCTCATGGTGTGCTGTGGCTTGGACCCTCCTGTCCCTGTCCCCCAGCGCTTGGGGGTTCACCAGAGCCAGGCTGCCTGCAAAGAAGTGGGTGGGCTTGGGTGCAGGGGGGTGCTACAAGGTACCAGGGCTGTGGTGACATTCCTCCCCTCTCTTGCAGATGGACACCAGCTAAAGCAGCAGCAGTGGGCACAGGGAAGGACTCCAATCGTGCTCCACACTCCTGGCAGGGGCTGCGGCTGTGGCTGCTACTACCAAGGATGGGATTTGTTTTACTTTTATGTTCTGGGATAGGTTTTAACTCCTGTAAAGGTTTTTTTTAATTCTCAGCAGACCTGTTTTGTACCGAGTTATTTTTGGGATAAATTTTTCTGGTTGCCTGTTGGGCCAAGGTGGCTTTTTCACCTTTGCCGTAATAAAATAGAACCATGTCTAGAGCTGTGGCTGGTGCCTTGCCGCGCTGGGCCCCGCGCCCCATCGCCCTCCCGCACGTACCGTTCTGCTCCGCGCCACTCTGCCGTGTACTGGTCCCTGTCCCGGTCCCGTCCTGCCCCGCTGCTCTCGTTCCTGCTCCCGGTCCCGCTCTGCCCCGCCCCGCTGCTCTCGTTCCTGCTCCCGGTCCCGCTCTGCCCCGCCCCGCGGGTCCCGCCCCGCTGCTCTCGGTCCTGCTCCCGGTCCCGCTCTGCCCCGCCCCGCGGGTCCTGCCCCGCTGCTCTGGGTCCTGCTCCCGGTCCCGCTCTGCCCCGCCCCGCTGCTCTCGGTCCCGCTCCCGGTCCCGCTCTGCCCCGCCCCGCGGGTCCTGCCCCGCTGCTCCCGGTCCCGCTCTGCCCCGCCCCACTGCTCTCGGTCCTGCTCCCGGTCCCGCTCTGCCCCGCCCCGCTGCTCTCGGTCCTGCTCCCGGTCCCGCTCTGCCCCGCCCCGCTGCTCCCGGTCCCGCTCCCGGTCCCGCTCTGCCCCGCCCCGCGGGTCCCGCCCCGCCGCTCTCGGTCCCGCCCGTCCGCTCCGTCCTGCCCCGCCCCCGCGCGCCCCCGGGCCAATCAGCGCGCGGTCCGCGGCCGGAAGCGCGGCGGCGGCGCGGCGGCGAGTAACGGGAAGTGCCGGGCGTGTCCCGGAAGTGCGGGGGCGCGCGGGGCCTGGGCGGATCCGCGGCGTTGGCAGCGCAGCGGGGAGCGAGCGAGCCCGGTACGGCGGGAGCGGGTGGGTGGGCGTACGGTTGGGTGGGCAGGGCCGGGCCGGCCGCGCCGCGCCGCGCTGGCTGCGGGCCGCGGGAAGGGCTGAGCGCGGCCGAGGGGCGGGCGCGGGGCCC